TAATAAGGGAGTACTCAGTCATGGAGCCATGGACTTTACCTTTCTGCCTCTCTCTCTCTCTCCTCCTGTCTCACCCACATGCTATCCTGATGCGCATTTTCAATCACTGATGTGAAGTTAGTTTTAGGAAAAAGTTAGTTTTTCCTAAAAGTGCAGCCTTAAAGCAATTGTCAGAAACCTCTGTGCTACTACTAATGTTGATTTATATAGCAGTTACAAAGTGCTTCCCAAAACCTAAACAACTTATACAAACATATCATACAACAATAAAATAAAAATAAAAACCATATCCAATATGTAGCAGCAATATACAATAATTAAAATGACTCTAAACATAATAAAATAGGTAATACATCACAAATAACAGACCATAGATTTAATGATGTGATGTGATTGTCATTTAGTCCACTACAACGTACTAGGCTCAACCTAAATGTAATTAAATGCCATAAAATAAAAATTAGTCTTAAGATTAGTTTTAAAAACTATCAAGGGGGGTGTCATCCTCACACACTGGGGTAACTCATCCCACAGCTCAGGGGCCACGATTGAGAAAGCCTGATCACCACCTATTTTTTAACCTTGATTTTGGCCCTGCTAAGAGTAGTTGATCAGCAGACCTAAGAGATCATGAGGGCCAATGGAGATTTAAGAGATCTGTTGTAGAACTTCTTAATTTTAAATTTGATTCTAAAACCGCAGTAGCCAATGCAGAGAAGCCAGAATATGATATTGAATATACAGAAGGGAGTGGTGGGAGAAGTATTCAGTCTTTGCTTTAAAATCAGTTCATCATATCGACTTTTACTGTACAAATGAGGTACAATCTAAACCACAGTGCAGTACATTTGGAGACACTATTGTGATTAAGTGCCACAGCACAAGTCCCACAAAATTGCAGGTGCATGCGGCAAAGTTTAAATGTATAGAAAATCAGACAGAGTTGGGTGAGTAGTTACTCTGTTGCTCTGAGCGGTAGGTCTTCAAGCAGTTTTGGAAGAAAGGATTTTAGTGGTTTTCATTGTGCTTGCAAAGTCCATCTTTGCTACATCAGACTGAAAATTGCCTACCTAAGGACAATGAATTCACAGGAAACGATTCATGCATGAAGTGAAAGGTATGATACTTAATTTATGTTTCTATAGGTGTAAGAGAGATGAATGGTTTATGTAAATGGCTGTTAGTTACTGTGATGTTGGTGACTTCACCATATGATGAGGCAGATGTGTATGTGTACAACGTGTGCATGTTAGGATAATAACAGTGTAAATTGGTTTGTAATGTTCCATTGCTAGCCAGGAATTTATTTTTTTGGAGACAGTTGTGCAGACATATTGATTACTGCCATAGCAACCTAAGTACATACAGGCACAACAGGACCTCACAGTCAGTGCAGAAGTGTCTCTGTGTGTGTGTGTGTGTGTGTGTGTGAGAGAGAGAGAGAGAGAGAGAGAGAGAGAGAGAGAGAGAGAGAGAGAGAGAGAGAGAGAGAGAGAGAGAGAGAGAGAGAGAGAGAGAGAGAGAGAGAGAGAGAGAGAGAGAGAGAGAGAGAGAGCAAGAGAGAGAGAAAGCAACGTTTTATTGCTGTGGACTTACTTTTCAAAGGGTGGAAGAGTGAGAAGGATCATGGGTGGGCCCTAAAGAAATCCTTTAGGGATGGAGACGCCACTTTAGAAAACACTCAGCTTTCACAAAATCGGGGGGTCAATAGAGGGTGAAGGGAAAGACTGGATATCAGATTTTCCATGGCGTTAGACGATCATTAGTGTGTGTGTGTGTTATAATGTGGTAATAATGTTTGCTCTGACGATTTGCCAGCTGGAGTCTACGTGTTATACCCCCAGTTCCAACAGCTACAAGCTGAAATATTCCTGGTTTTGGTTTATGTATTTATATATTTATGTATTTCCCATCAATGCTAAAGAAGTTGTTTACCAAATACACAGTATCATTAAATGGACAAGATCTTTTGTAGCTTAGTATTAACTATAGCAGATTTTCTTCTAGGACCTCTCTCTATGTGGCTGCATTAACCCTCCCCTCAACTGTGTCCAGTCTCCCTGTCCCTGCCGCCTCCATAGCATGATGTTCCCATCACCTTGCTTCACCATAGGGATGGTATTAGCCAGGTGATGAACACTGACTGGCACTGTCTGGACTTCTGACCAAAGGGTTCATTGTCATCAGAGATTAGAGAATGTTTTTAACGCATGTTCTCAAAGTTTTTTTTAATACCGTTTGACAAACTTCAACCAGGCTGTCCTTTATCTTATACTCGGTGCCTTCCATTTAACCACTCTACCATAAAGGCCTGATTGATGACGTGCTGCTGAGATGGTCATCCTTGTGAGTCTCAGTGGTTCCAAACGTCTTCCATTTCACAATTATTGAGGCCACTGTGTTCCTGGAAACAGTCAAAGCGTTAGACATGGTTTTACGGTCTTGCCCTGATTAATGCCTTGCCACAGTTTTATCGTGGAGGTCTACAGAGGCTTTGGTGTTTATTCTGACATGCAGTGTGAATTGTGGGACAGGTTTGTGCCTTTGTAAACCATGTCCAGTCAGTTCTGTTTTCCACTGGTGTATTCCAGTCAAGTTCTAAACACTCGCTAATTAAAGTCCCCATGGTGTGCTTGTTTCCAGCCATTTAAAGTTTAATCTTGGGTACCTCTAGATTATCTTGGCACCCCTCATAACTCCAAATTGTCTATTTTTTTTCTTCAGAATAATAAAACCAAAAAGCCTATTCCTAAAATCAAGAGGATAATTCGTGAACATGCACGGGTCCTGCTGCGGGTGTTGTGTCGCAAGTGGACAGCACAACGAACCGGGACGGCATTCATTAATTTGAATTTCTCCTCCATAGATAAACAGCGGTATATGTACTAATGAAAAGAGATGTGTAACACTCTAAACAAAGCGGGTAGTTGAGAAACCCCATATTTTAACTGGAAGAATCTAGACAGTAACTTCTCCAGCCGTACAACATCTCTCTCTAACATTAGAGAAACAAGGCATTAACAGACATGCAGCGTGTTATTTTTTATTTTTTTAAACTAACCGTTAAGTCCCACCGAGTAGTGGAAACATCACTCCCTTTTAAGTAGCTCCAAGGTTGATAAATCCAACCAGTGGCCGGTGCGTCTTCCCCCACACGACCACATACAATCCCAAAGTAACATCATGGGTCGTTAGTACAAACATATACTGTGCTCAAGAAGAATCCAGTGTTGATGAGCTGATCAGTCACCACCGCTGGGGTCTTCATAGGCTGGCTGCTTGTAGGTTATACCCAGTCAGGTAGAACAGCGAGTCCCTGTACAGGAATATTCCTGGACATACAGTAACCTCAGCCCCTGTATTTTTCTCCACATCCTTTGGTCACAGTGCTGCAACAGGAGGGAAAATATATCCACAAAACCAGGCGCAGTCGAAAAATTCCTCGTTTACAGTGGCACCGGTGGATGTCTTTTTTTTTTTTTTAATAAGCTTTATTAAAAACATACATAACAAACAAGGCAATGTAACATTATGCCAATATGGTGGCGGCACTGGTGGACGTCAGGCAAGCTCACATGAACACGCAACGGCCTGGATTTAATACCCATTCAAGGAAATCCTTAAACTATCACTTAATACTTTATTTTGTTAGAAAAAAAAGCCTCGAGAGTGAGAGTTTGCATGACGTGTTGAAAAGCATCATGGGCCGTTTAAAACAAGCGGGATCCACAGTTTGGAGTGTCACAGCAAAACTTGTAAATGAGAGATTTCAGGTTTTGATTTTTAATGTACAATTTCAAAAAACATGCACAAAAAACAAATAAGGATTTTATCTATTTAAACTTAAATCCACAATATAATAAAGTGTGCCAAAAGTGAAGGGGTCTAAATACTTTCTGAAGTTACTGTATATTGCGCAAATACAGCTGTTTACTCTCACTGGATGTTATTACCTGGATAGAAGTGGTTTGTCTGTCTACCTTCTTCCCTGTCGCTCTTTTCCCCCCCTTAATCTCGCGCTCTGCTTCACTCACTCACACGCACACTTCATACTTATTTTCACATTAGTCTCCGTGGGGCCTTGAGCCATTAATAATGTCCCAGACTGGGAACGGAGACAAAGTGCGGCTGAGAGTGCTGGGTGTATTCAGGAGAGAGGCAGGCAAGGCTGGGCACAGCTCTCCCCAGAGGAGGAAGCTGCTGTCTCATATCGCTGCCCACATCCATTCCCAGAATAATCAGCTAAGCTCACCACTGAGTTTCACCGTCCCTGAAGATGTTAGTCGTTAGAGGAAAAGAGGTTGATTCCTTCAGGTTTACCTGAGGATAATACAAGCAGTACAAGCACTATTAAGAAGTGACAGTAAGGTGTTTCCTGGAAACCTTTTCTCTTTTCTCACTTTTTAGTCTCTGCCATCACTGCAATAAGGGATTTCTTTGCGATCGTAATACCTACAAGAATAAATGTTCTAATGTTTTAATGTTTTTTATTTCTTTTTTTAAGCTGTGTCCCTGAGCAGTGCTGCTCTCTGTTTCTGTATAATGGGACAATATCAGAAAAGACAGCTTCATCGCTTTGTTAAATTTCTCTCTCTGTCCTTGCTTCAAATCCTAATATTTTCCCTTTATCTGTCCTCTTTTTCTTATTTTGTAATATTTCCCAGTTGTACAAGATTCACTTGGTTTATCATGTTTATTTAATTACCATTTCAGCTCTGTATTATTGTGCTACCGTTTCTCCCATTTGAAAGGCTGTATTAATTGCCTTTTTCTATTAAACCTTTCCCACCACAAATGAAAATGGAACAGAAAATCATGTAAATGTGTTTGTGAGTGAGTGAATATATAAATAATTTTGCTAGTCTTGATATTTTTGTGAGTTTAGCAGCTGCTGGTGTGAGGAAGATCTCACTTTTTAAAAAATATTTAGTAATATGTCTCAATAAATGTTCTGAGGGAGCTTATATTAATCAGCACTGTTAATCTTTTTCTCTCTTCAGCTGACATCGGAGCAACTAGTGATGCTTTTGGAGCTTCTGTTAGAGGAATCGGAGCTTAGCGTGGCAACAATGCACACACTGCAGAGAACGTACACCCTACAGAATCAAGATGCTGAGGTAAGATCACACATGCACATATTCAACCACACACATGCTCAGACAAATGTGCATATGCATCTGAGCTCTACAATCTCTTCCATTAACAAAAAGGTCTCCTCTCCCTTTTATATCAAGGCACAGCTCGTAATGTGTAGTAAATTCTGCTGTAATAGCAGCTCTCTTCTTTACAGCCACCATTACTGACTAAATCCCGCAAGCATTTGCTTCATGTTTTACTATTGGACAAAGTTTCTTAATGGTACTATTAAGAGTATTTGAGTGTGTGTGTGTGTGTGTGTGTGTGTGTGTGTGTGTGTGTGTGTGTGTGTGTGTGTGTGTGTGTGCTCTGCAGATGTGTGTGTGTGGACTCAAGTGTTTCATGTACTGTATGTTTATAACAGGTTCTTATCTATTACGTATATGAGATGTTTTGTTGTATATGTATCCATATATATATGTATACAGTATATGCGTGTATGTTCTGCTGTGCAGAGCCAGTTTAGTGGTTATGTGGTTATTATATTACATCCAGACATTTAAAGTTGCATTTAAGGGCATTTGTATTACTTACATTCTAAATTCTCAGTCAGGCTGCTTCTTCAAATTTTGTCAAAGACAAAATGATGTTTCTAATTCTGTATTTTGAAGTTCTTTCAGTTTTCTGTAAGATATCTCACTTCTTTAGGTTATTGTCTTAACTTTTGTTTTCAGTGATTGACCTTGTGGTCACAAGTCAAGGCCACCATGTGTTTGGCCTCGGGTCCAGCTTTAGATTTGGGACTTCTTTACTCGGACTTCCTGGCAGATGAAAAGAGATTATCATCTGCAATTTCCAGGAAAAAAAACTTTCAGTGCTAAAAATACACAGGGCCATTATGTGCATAGCCATGGTTGGAAAAAACACACACGCATTCACACAAACGTACACACACCTGTCTAAAGGCAAGAGTCCAGATGTTAGTGTTAATGTTAGTGAAAAAGTAACAAAAAAAAGTAATGGCACTGTTGCAATTTCCTGGTTTTCTGAAGCATCAAGAACACAATATTTCTAAGGTGATAAAACACGTGTCTTTATTGAACACACCCATTAAACATACAAAGTGATGGTGGAAAATTTAATGGCAACATGAAGCTTCTGATGTCACTAAGCATCAACTGGAGTCAGGTGTTAGCAAACCTCAAGTCAAATCAGTCAAACGAGAATGGACTACCTTGACTTATAAAATACTCAGACAGTGTCAGTGTGCCATTCACAAGCAGCATCAGCGGATGTGAGCCAGGCCTTGGAAAAAGAAATCTCAGAGGACCTACGATCACGAGTTGTTATTTATTACAGAGTCGTCTAAAAGACTTTAGATTTTCATCAGTCCACAGTTAGACATGTTGTCTATAAATGGAGACAATGTGGTACTGGGGCCACATTCCATAGAAGTGGATGCCCAAGCAAAATCAGTCCAAATGCACAATGCAGAATGCTCAGATTTAAAAAAATAATTCTAGAGACATAAAGGGTTATTGGAGTTGGTTACCATCTCTGTTCATATTGAACATGCATCGACCCAATAGAGATGCTGTGAAATGACATTGCGAGCCATTCACACCAGACATCCTAAGAATATGGCTGAGCCAAAGCAGTTTTCAGGTGGTTCAGCCAGTTATTAAAAGTTTCCATTATTTTTTCCACCATCACTTTGTATGTTTAATGGGCAAGTTCAATAAAGACATGAAAGATCATGACGGTGTTTTATTAGCTTAGAAATATTAACTTTGTCGATATTTGTGACTTTGGTGAAGATCAGATCACATTTCAACAGTGCTGTTACTTTTTCTTTTGACTCTTCCAAATAAATGTGGCCCTGCTTCTACTCTGTTCATGTCTGCTGCTCCTCCTTTTCCTTTTTTTTCTTGGTCTGGTGCTGCATTCTCTTCTGAAGACTAATGACTGATCTGTTTAAAAGTGTTGGATAAATGCCGGACTGAGTGCAGCTCTGCCTTTGTAGCCCTTCACTGTTTACCTTACAGAGAGTGAAAGCTTTTCAGAATGGATGAATATAGGATATTGGATTATAGGAGCATTATGGCTTCTGAAAGGCGGCTAGTAACATGTCAGCATTGTTATACAACTGATTGATTGCCTGAAAATAGAACTGTATTATCAGGCCAAGTAGCATTTAGTAAACCTCGTAGGATGATTTCATAGATTTTCATACAGCTTGGTGCAAAGGCCGGCGTGCAAGCTTAGGTTTCTGTGCGTGTGATTTGCATGAACATGTAAACAATAGTGAAAGGAAATATGACTAACCACCTGTGTACATTCAGTAGAACGGCTTTGTGAACGTGAGTGACCATGAATACATGTGAGAGTGCACCTGTGAGCCGTCACATGTGGTTGCATGAATGAGAGGGTGCATGACTTTGGCCCAGTTCTTTCTTACAAACCTAATGTGTGTGACTCTACATGTGTACACATGATATGTTTATGCGTGAGTGTATGCATGTAGTTTTACGAGTGCATTTCTGATTGTGTGGGAGCACGTGTGTGTCAAAGGCCACCTCTAGGTCAAGCACACAGGGTGTACTGTGTATGGTGCACAGGTTTGGTAACTCTTCCAGTAAAATGGATACTTAATTTGACCACATCAATAATTGTCTGCTTCTACTGGCCACAGCATGTGAAGGACAGTAGACAACAGAACAAGGGGAAAGAGCCATTCAGAGTGAACCAAGTAGTGTGTATTTAAAGAACCTTTCATCATAATGGCAGTTTCTAAGAGCTTCATAGTCTCATTCTAGACTAGAAATTTATCTACATTATATACAGCTTCCCCAACTTTTTTGGGAATGGGTTGTATAAAAGAGTCTGTACACTAAATAAGAGCTAGAGTCAGGAAATACTCAAATTAGCTTAGCATGAGAACGGGAGCGGTGTCTAGCAGCACCTCTGAAGTTCACAAAGTAAGACGTTAAATTTAGTTTGTTCTGTCTGCACAAAAAATGAAATGTATAAAAACAAGTTGTGGATTTGTGGAGAGGTACACTGTGTGCTGGACTGTTAAGCTCAGAGGTGCTGGTAGGCTGATTGATTTTTTTTTTAATGCTAAGTTAAGCTTAGCTTCATTTATTGGACAGATGTGAAATGATATCAATCTTTTCTTGGAAGAAAAAGAATAAGCATTTCCAAGCTTTCACGGTGCATTTTCACACTTTGGCCCTAAAATCAGTATATGAGGCCATGTTTGCTCACACTATGCTGTTAAACAATATCTGGGCAAGTCAAGACTACCATAACACCGCATTTGCATCTTCACTCCATGCATGTTTTTGCATGTTTGAGACTGACTGTATGAGATGTATACTGTTCATCATGGTAAATGAAAACACAAATATGCTAGTATCAGATGATGCATTTGTGTGTGTGTGTGTCAGCACTGGTGGTGGATGGTGAAGGAGGGGTGAAAGTGCAGTAATAAATGAAGGAATGTCACTGTGTAATTGCATTTGCTGTCAGAGAGAGGGGCCCAGCGACAGGAAACAGAGTAAAAAGGGGGCAAGTAGAGGTGCACCAGGCAGCTGCTCTGCCCCAGGGCTCTCCCCAGGAATGTAACCCAGCACAGGGAACAGCTGCTGTGGTTATGCAGGCCAAAAGGGCAGAGCTGGCACCAGAGGGTACACATACACACACTCGTGCTCACTCCCACATTCATGAATACAGACACACGGGGCACTTACACCCTTTTGGTTTTTGTCACGTCTGCTGGGGGATTTTTGTAGCCTTCCAAAGTAAACAGAGGCCAAGAATATATGGGAAAAGGAAGATTTTAAAGTTGGTCAAAATAAGAACTAGAAAGCCCTCCCGAGAGAAATTAAACTCATGTTTATTTAGTAGGTTGCAGAGGTAATGTGAGGACTAAACTGTGTCTGCTGTAAATGGATTATTGCTCGGCCTCCATTCTCATGCTGCATAAACAGGTGGAGGGTAGCAAAACTTTTCTGGCACAAAAAAAAAACAAAAAACAAAGCCAAAACTCCTGTTAAGACTGTGACCACATTCACAGTCCTCAACTAGATCCATCGGACTCCTTTCTAGAATGCTACCTTAAAAAAAGATACAGTATATGTACAAGCACTGTAGAAATGCCCAAAGCTGCTGAAACTGAAACAGTCACCAAGAATCCCACGTTTGGTCACTGCACTCTCCAGAGGACTAGTTTATTATCCTGAGTGTGTGGATAGTTATGGAGGAGATTGAAACACCCACGAAAAAAATAGCCAAGGGAAACCGGTTTTAAAGTAGTGACAGTGCTTTACAAGACTGCTCATCGTGATTTTTTTTTTTTATTGCTCCTCTCTCTTTTTATCTTCCTCTGTCTTTTTTCCTCCACAAGAGTGTATATACACATGTGCACTCTGTTTCTGTGCGCGTACAGACACACACGCGTTCTCGTAGCAGATGATGAAGGATGATGGCTGAGGCAGGGACAGAGCCAGTCTCTGATCTCTCCTGTAACCGCGGCAACAGAGCTCCTATTGATCCTCTGGGAGAAAGGCCAGGCATTAGCTTTCACACACACACACACACACACATGCACACGCACAGTAAAGCACACCTCTACACACACAAAGCCAACACACGTGTAAATTGTCAAAGATTCAAACTGAACTTTTAAGCAGGAACTTCAGTTTGCCTTTCCTAAACAAAGTTCATGTTAATCCTCCAGTTCTGGATGAATCTGTTCACTGGCAGTGTGTCCAGCTTCCAGCTCTCTCAGAGCCCGTCAGATGAGCTGCTTGTCTTTGTTACTGGCAAAGAGAGAAACCTGATCCCATTTACGTGTGAATACACTGGCCAAAAGTATAAAAATAGCATCTTCCAGAATGGCAGTTTTTTAAAAGATCTAATAAATACAAAGATTATAAATGTTTGTGATCAATACCTTCCTGTTCTTAAGGATTATTTATTTATAGTAATAACTATATTTATGATTTGTTTATCCATGTGACTTATTTGTGTTTATGATCCTATTAAAGTTGTATTTTTCCATGTGTTTTGGCCTCCAGGTCCGACATCGCTGGTGTGAGCTGGTGGTCAAACATGCGTACAGTCAGGCATACGGAGACGTGGAACATTTCCTCATTCACGACCAAGTAAATTAACACATCTGTTGACATTTGTGCTTTAGGATATTGTTTTTTTTTTTTATTATTATTATTTTCCACAATTCCCACACAGACTAAAACCAACAATGAAGTTTGCATACTCATCGTAAAGTCTCTGAATCGTGAACCTGGTTTTACTTGTTTTTCTGTGCTGTAGACTCCACTGTCGTTCAAACACTATTAAAAACACACCAGAGGGCCACACCGCTTCAATGGGTGACATGTTTCTTCCTCACAGAATGCATGGGGGTACGTGTTACAAGCTCCCGATGTTAAGGACAGCCATTACCTTTTTACAGTGTCTGATGTAAGAAGGATTTAGTCACTCTATGGGATTTGTGAAAAATAACCAAAAAAATAGAAAATCACAAGCCTGATCCTTTAATGAATGCTTCAAACACTTTGAAAACATTTATTCAACTTGAAAGTAAGGCATTTACATTATAAGAAATAATATTTGACCATGTATGCATTTTCTAGGCCATGGGTGTGTATCTGTACGGAGAGCTGATGGTTCAGGAGGACCCTGTGCAGCAGGCCCTGGCTCGTCGCTGCTTGTCACTGGTCCAGGAAGAAATGGACCAGTCGACACGTAGAGTCGTGGAGGAGATGATCCTGTGATATTGGAGGTAAAGTCTGAATTCTCACTTCTTCATTCACTCAGCGTCGGCCACGATGTGCATTGCGTCATTCCATTTTGTGTCCCTGGAAGTGCCGTTTCAGTTAAATCAAGACCCAAGATGGCTCAAAAACTCAGATTTTCAATGTCTGCAGTGAAGCTCTTTTTTAATCAGGATTTACTGGCTGTCTGTGGCACTAAATATGGGCAGAAATTACCACAAGAGTCCTAACAAGCTGAATCAGAAATGTAAAAATAAATGTGTGTAGGTTTATGAAACATAATCCCCAGCAGTCTGCTCAGTGTTTTCAGTTCATAGTCACAGTTCAGTTTGAAACCAAATGCTTTTTTAACTGGCTGGTAAATTTTACCTGAATCATCTGTGGAGAAAAGAACGAGTATCATATCAGTATAGTGAAGCTCATATGGACTTCAGAAAAGTAACAAAAGAACTCCTCAAATATTCTCCATTATATTCTGTATTGTATGTAATATTTCAATACATAACTTACAGAACTTTGTCTTCATGTCTGACCTTTTAGTCTGAAATGGCTTCTGTAAAAGGAAGCTTTGTGTTGGATTGATCCTGCTTCCATCTGCCCCAGCGGACAGTCAACACTTGAGTCACTTGGCTACCTATACTGCACATTCCTTCCTGAGCCCACTGAGTGTGTGTCTGTGTGCGCATGTGTGCATTTGTAGGCCCAGAGTGGGGCCTTTTTTGTGGTTTCACAACAGCACCGCCAAGACGTGTTTGTCAGAAAAGGAATTTGGGAATGTGTTCCTCAAACAAATGAGAGATAAGGGGTCAGCAAGCATTTTCTGAAGGGTGCAGGAGGGTCTTGACTCGACATGGGGTGATTTTTACACTGGTGACCCTGAAATTCCACATCCGTGTGTGTGTGTGTGTGTGTGTGTGTGCGTGCACGTGCCTGACCACAAGTGTCAACAACTGCGCTTTTGGATGACTCAGAGCAGTGAGCAGTTTATTGGTCTCACACTAAATGGTCAGAAGAGAGCAATTTGTTTTAGACAGAAAAGAGAGGAAGAAAATGATGAATGGAAGGGGAGGGCTAGAGTGAAGACAGGTCTCTTCTGAAGTTTTAATAACTGTCCTGGAATTGCTGACGCCAACCTTTGAATAATGAGAGCAAACAATTAAATGGCTCAAAATTCAGTAACCCAAGTATTCATCAGAGCTTGTATAAGTAGTATACTATTGGTAAGATGTTGTAGTTTACTAAAACTACTCATGTTACTGTCCTTCAAATACCTCTAGCCTTATTTATTTATTCATCATTTTCCTTTTATTTGATAGATGTAACAGTTGAGACAGACGTGAAAGGTGGGAAGAGAACAAGACATGCAACAAGTGTCCCCACCTGGAATCTAGCTGGACATTACATGGTAGGAGCCTTGACCACTGAGCCATAGGGACACCCAGTTATTACTGTTTATTTATTAATGAATCTGAAAATTCAGATTGTTAAATATTTGTGCCTACATATACAAAAATCAGCAGAGGTTTAGGACCACTGTAAAAATGTATTTGGGCTCTGACTTTTTTTTTTCTCTTGAGTTTAAATATAAAGCTGACTTTTAAAAAAGTCAGAAGTCTGAGAAGTCATTTTTTACAGTGGCCATAATCCTCTTCTGTATAAATTAAAGTTAAGGAAAACACAATTTTAACAATTTTATACTCAAAAACTGAAAGTGAATTTCTGTGTTCCAAATTTGGCATGAACATGAAATATCTGTTAGAGTAAAGTGGTGATTCCAAGGCCTTTCATTTAGCTGTATTTTTCTTAACAGGCATTTTAAGTAAGATTTTGATAAACTGCATATATTACAGTCTGATTTCTATGTTACACCTTTTCATTCAACCTGTGATATCAATCAGCTGTGTCATCTAGTACAACCCCAATTCAGTGAGTATGAGGTCAAACAAGACATCAATGCAGGCTGTGTCAAGAGGCGCTGCTAAATAGCTGTTCACATTAACCTGAGTGACTTACAGCACTAAATCCTTTTTTAGGCCATGACCAAGCCACTGCACGGCAGGCTTTTATCTTCAGACACAAACACACACACACAGACAGCTTTATGCATTTGCACGGGATGTGAGAGATTTTCTAGACAAGTGCTTGGCGTCCTGCTCGGTCCTGATAAATCTCTTTGACACAGGCACTGCATATGTGTGTGCTCTGTGTGTGTCTATCTGCAGTATTTGTGCCCACAGATCCTTTGTCATTATCCTTCACTGCCTTGCGGAGCATCAGCACTAGTACAGGAGGAATGAGATGGAGCAGCAGAGACCAAAAAGAATAGAAGAAAAGATGCATTTACAGATTAATATCCTAACATTTACTACTGCTTCCCATTGGACTGAGCCAAAACAAGCCTCTGTAAATACCAGCGGATCATGGTGGTCAGCTGAGTTCAGGTCCAGATCTGTCCAGTTAAAATGATGGATGAACGGACCTCCTCGCTGCTTTTTTATACTGCGCTGTGGGGAGAAGGATTTATGTTTTAATAGTCAGTTTGTCTTTCCCCTTACCCTTTCTTAGGTAGAACAGTCCTCTGTGTACCCTTTGACACCCTCACACACACAGAGCGACCACAGTACAGAGGGATTAGGCTAAGGCGGGCTGAGAGGGTTTTAACTGAAAACATGTCTGTCAAGGCGCACTCCTTGCTCTGTGTTTTTAAACCTAAAAAGCACAACTCTTTAAAGGAGAAGGGTGGTCTCTGTCCTTTTCCCCTCCCTGTTCCCTCCCTTCGTTCTTTTCTTCCCCCGGTACGTCTCTGGAATCCCTCTTGATCTGCTTAATGAGGTGCATATCGCCGGGTTAGCCGAGCGTGGCGAATGGGAGAGGAGGAGAGGGGTAACCAAGGAGATGGTGTGACAGAGAGGGGGAGTGAGGATCTACAGGTTTATGCTCCGATGGTGGACATGAGGGATAAAAAGGAGGAGGAAAAAAGTTTAAAGGTTTGTCATTTCTGGGTGTTGCAGGTTAGTGGTGAGCCGGAGCTGGACTCGGGTGTAGGTAGAGGAAAAAAGACAGAGAAGATCTTGTTCTTTCATGTCTGGGCTGTGAGGGTTCCTGGCGTGCTGATTTGTGACTTATGATAAAATCACATTGCCAGGGATTACCACACAGGCCTGACCCAGCCGGCTGCTATGGCAACCAGAGCCCCTCTTACACACACTGACAGAGTCTCACTTGTGCCCCAGAAACTTTAAACCAAAGAAGACGTGATTATCTAAGAGTGTGTGATTGTATTTGAGGAGTTGATGATTTGGAAGTGCTGAGAAGAAAAGGATGATGAGGGAGCCAGAGGGTCTTAATGCGGGTGTGTTTTTTAAGAGTGTACGTGTGTGTAAATGTCAGTCAGCCGTACAGGTTTGTGTGCCCTCTCTCCAGCTAGGCACAGAGCTTAGCTGATTGGTGAACAGTGATTGATTTCCTCTTTGTTCACAGTGGCTAAGTTCTGCACCTGAGGAGAGCATGACCCAGACAAGCAGACAAAGGAAGACGATGGATGGCTGTGAAGAGTAAAGAAATGTTCCTTCAAGTTTTGACTGTGGAAAGTGTGTGTAGACAGTTGATCATTATTTTCCCACTTCAGTTATCTAATGTGTTTCTACTTTTCAGTCGCAGAGCTCCTTTCCTTTTGTCCTTGGGTTTTCTCACTCCTTACTTAATTTACGTGGCATCTTTTCGCCTGTCCCTGTTTTTGCTTATTTATTTCACTCTACGCCCCCCCTTCTCCTTATCCCTTATTTTTCTTCAGTGTCTACATAGCTCTCTTCTTTTCCAACCTCACTTGCATGTCTGTAAAACTTTCCACTGAGACCCTCTCACTCAGAAGAATTAAATACACAAGCCCTCTCACAAATTCAAACCTGTGTAACATGACTAATGAGCGCCACGGCACACTCTCCCCTCTTTGTCTGTTGTTTATTCCCCTTCTGTCATCATCCTTCCTTGCTCTGTACTTACACCCCTCTCTGCTTCTGTAGTTCTAGCAAAGGTGAGAGCCAAGTACTGTAGTACTGCAGGAGAGGGACTGTACTTCCAGTACTAATGAGATCTGAGGAGACCCAAACGCTGCTGACAGATTTTTTTCATCAATTTGTTCTCGTTTTCTTACAGCAAACATTCCGCATGCCCAAATTCATACTATGTACTGATTCTATACCGAATATATTGTACATTGTGCCCTAATCATCACAGTATGCTGCTTCAGGTAGAAAACACAAAAACGCCATACTTTACCATTTGATACTAATAAGAAATTATTCAATATAAAGATGTCAGTGATAATTGTTTATCAAATAATTGCTATTAATAATTTAATTGAAGGTTTCCTGTCCTTGTTTTGCCTCTCAACCAGTGAGTGTATTTGAATGGCAAAAAGACTGAGAATAGAGGTAAATGGTCTTATACTTGTATAGGACCATTTACCTCTGTATTCTCAGTCTCTGTGCCATTCAAATACACTCACTGGTTTAGCGGTAAAATGAGGACTTCACTCATTGGTTTAGAGGTAATACAGGGACTTCAGTGAATGGACTGCAGGCAAAGTGGTGAAGCTGTCACATTTCTACAAGTTTATGTTCTGCTTGTTCAACAGCTGTTTGATAAATTGCTCATACAGTCTCTGTTATTGGCTGATTGTTGCATGGATGATCCTTCACATCCTCTGCTCAGCTGTGTGTGTGTGAGAGAGAGAAGAACACAGCCCTTCCTTACCTAAACACAGAAACTGACAGTGAAAAAGTAAAATAGGATGGTCTACATAACCTGTGAGGTTATGCCAGGTGACAGTTAAGGGAAGGGTGTACTGCTCGTTCGGTACCAACAATGGAAACAGCTTATGAGATGATGACATTCGTAGCTATGTTGGATAGTCAAGGCAAATGAATTTATATAGCCAATATCGCAAATCCAATAATGTTATTGGACTTCTGTGCTAGTCATAGATTGGCCATAACATACACCATGT